GATCACCACCATATAATTTGATAATATCCATGGTTGCCATGGCTAAACCAGCACCATTGACAATACAACCAATATTACCATCAAGACCAATATAATTCAAATCATATTTAGCAGCACGAACATCACGAGGATCTTCTTGAGTGATATCTTTAAGTGCAAAAAGTTCTTTTTGACGGAAGAAAGCATTGTCATCAATGTTAACTTTAGCATCTGCACAAATAACTTTTCCGTCAGCAGTTTCAATGAGAGGATTAATTTCCAAAAGTACAGAGTCTGTCTTCATAAACAAATTGTACAATTTTGTAATTTGGTCAACAGCTTGGTCAAGCAATTCATCACGGAAACCCAATTTACGAGCTAAACCTTCAGCTTGTGATTTGTGCAATCCTTCCTTTACACTAATAGGAATTGTATGAATTTCTTCAGGACTTTCTCTAGCAACATCTTCAATGGCCATACCACCTTGGGTACTACCAATTAATACAGGTCCACCAGATTGACGATCCAAAAGAATAGCCAAGTATAATTCTCTACGAGCATATAATCTTTCTTGAACATAAACCTTGTTACATGGTTTACCTTCAGCACCAGTTTGTTTTGTAACTAGTACTTGTCCTAGCATCTTTGATACGTAATCTTCAGCTTCTCCAATTGAAAGAGCCTTTTGAACACCTCCTTTAAGTCCACTCTTAAATTTACCTCTACCTCTACCACCAGCTAACACTTGAGCCTTGACAATATAATCGACATGATTTCCCAATTCAGTGCAGGCCTTCTTGGTTTCTGTTGCACTTGTTAGTACTTTGCCTCTTGGAACGGAAATATCATAACTTCTGAACAAATCTTGTGCTTGGTATTCGTGGAGATTGAGAAGACGTTTTTGTGTTGTGTTGGTTGAGATTTGAGAGAGGTTCTTTTTACCCAATACTCTAAAGATACGATTGGATGATGAGAACATTTTTTGTTGTTGTTTTTTGTTGTTATTCAAGAATCCCGTTAGCGTATGATAAAGAGGAGCTTTCTTCGCCTTTTCTTACAAAGTTTTTAGGGCATTGTCGTCATCATTGAGAAACTTCATTTTTGCTTGTTTCACGAAATTATGCACCTATCAAAGCATTAGGATATTGTTTTTTTATCATTAGAATTAAGAGTTAATTTCGCCATTTATCTTGTTTTTCAAAACTTAAAACATGGTTATGTTGTCATGCAACTTTTAAATCAAAGATATTAACTTCGTCAAAAGAATAAGAAAAAAAATGAAAACCAATCTCCATTGCTGTGGTTGGTAGTGGTTTGAGTGCATTGGAGCACAATATTTCACTGTCAGAAGTGAACAATTCAAGGAGCAAGTAAATCAATGGATAGATCAGAAACAAGTAATTTTATGGGATGATCCTATTATATCATTAGAGAATGACATGACAATTAGGCCAAAATCCGCCCAACTTGGCTGTTTGAGCGATAATAATAACTCTAACGACGTGATTTCAAGATATATTTCAACAAGTAATGGTATGAATGCTCTTTGTAAATCAATGAAATCAGAGATTTTAGACACAGCCAAAATTTCAAATGTTTATGTCAATTTTGAAATTTTGGCTGTGTCTAAAATCTTTTATGAAACTATTAGAACGTTTCTAAAACAAGAATGGGTCTGAAATTATTACACAAGCTGCTGATCATGTCAATGTTCATAGATGGAGATATTCTATTCCATTTTCAACAAATTCAACCTACTCTGGAAGTGAATGGTATAATGATGGAATTGGTGATTGGACTAACAGGGAAGAGTCGAAGGAGCTTACTTAAGTGGAGTTGAAATGGCTGATTTCTTAATTTCAAAATTGTAGTTTATTTCAGTTTGTTTTTTAATAATTTAATTCTTCTTCAATAAAGCTTCAACACTTTCACGGAAAACTCTAGTATGGACATCAACATCTTCTTCAGTATGGTTAACACAAATTAAAGCCATGTTGTGGAATGGTGTCATCAAAATACCACGATTAAGGGCATACAAGTGCATATATTGGTCCAATTCAAAGTCACAAACAGCAGCAGCTTCTCCACCATTGACTGGTTCGGTTGGTCTAAACCAATATTCAGTACGACAACC